TATCAAGTAAATTACAAGTATCTACTTGTTTTAAGCAAGGTGCTCTTCTCAGATAAACTATAGATTGGCAACAATAGAAAAGAGCTTTCCATAGTCCTATCAAGTTCTTCTATTTAAGAATTATTGTCTGTACTTTATGCTTTATGAGAATAACTGCTAATGTGAGTTGAGAGTGAATTACATAGATTCTGATGGAATTTGACCAATGACTTACAATGTCAGCTCAGATTTTTTTAAAAAATCATCATAAACTCCCTCCTTTGTGGATTCCTGGCCAGAAGTTATATCCCCACTGCCGTAGCTCTCAAAGCCACTGTGAATTGAGTATATCTTCAACTCTAGATCGTTTAAAAATATAACCTCATCTTTAACCAGAGGGTACTATTTGAATATTATTTAGCACTATATATTAAGAAAAATAAAATATAATCACTTGGTTGTGGGCAAAATATATTAATTTTCACTGCAAAATATATTAAAAATATATTAATTTTAACTGCAAAATGTATTAATTTTCAAAGCAATAAGGCATGCTTTATAGAAAGGATGGTAATTATTGGTAATAAACAAAAATACATTGAGAATAATGGACATTATAAAATAAAATTATATCATAACTGTATACTGACTGCTTACATATTCATTATAAAATAATACTGCATATATTGATCCTTTTAATGCTTGCAAAATCTTCTTGAATAAGTATTATTAATTGGAGGAAGTGAGGCTTGTAAAAATTAATTAAGGTACATAATGTAAATATTTAATTTATATTTTTAGGATTTTAAGAAAAATTATAAAATGGTATTAAAAGCAGATTCAATCTATGCACTAAAAATCATACTAATATAAGTTAACCATTAATGTGGTATGACTAAAGAATTCAATTTCCATATATTATTGTTGTTATGTTTGGCTAATATCAAGGACTGTATATGCTGAATTTTATATCAGTAAAAATTCAAAATGTGTTCTTCAAAGTTGTAGCAGTACACAGACTATTAGCTCAAATATAATCTTCTAGATGTCAAGAAATTCCATAAGTGTGGTCAAAGGGCTTCTGATAAAGTCTACATCAATGCTTCACAAACAATCTATAATGTTAGTTATTTTAAAATTAATTGTGAACAGTAAGCAAAATTTATTGGGATTTATGCACATGCTGGATGTGGAAAACCACATCACGTATATTGCTATTTTTAATTAAACTAATGGTCAGATGACTATAATAGAAATTAATACCCATATGACAATTGTACAGTGAGCTCACCACTCATCCCTGGAGAAATGCAAAGTCCCAACAGAAAGCATTAGTAATTTTGGGAAAATTAAACTCGAAGACAATGAAACAAAAAGGTCAAAGGCAACAATAATTTTTTAAAGAGGGACATTTTTAGATTTTTGAAATTAGGAAATCATGAAAGTAGATTATATGAGAAAGAAAATATTTTTGTTTACTCTTTTAATGAACACTAAATGCCTCTGTGAGCTCGTGTTGTCTTAAATGTCTTCATTATATTTAATAAAGAATATAGGCATAGATTGCAGGGTAAGAATGAACAACTGTTATCAAAATTGTCACACATGTGTGACATGTGGTGCTGCTTACTACATTCTGCATGGTCCCTAAAAACTAAAAATTTGATTCCATGATGTTAAAATACACTTCCTTCTTAGTGTTACACAGTACTCAATAGTGATGCTAATTAAACTAGTCATTTTCTTTTGTTAATCTTACAAGAAAAATAACTATGAAAGATTAGCATGCGCTATAATTTGTTTCCCAATAACTGCACTAATATATGTCATTTACTTGCAGTCACATGTAAATATAAATGAATCATTAGTAGTCTCATTCTTTTCTTTACTTGGAATATTTCCTTTAATAAAACATTCGTTTCCATGAGAAGAAGCAGGTGGTAATTGCAGATAACTTTAAAAAAATCTCTATGAGCTAAGCACTGAAAGTATTATTTAAATTAATTTTTGGAACACTTGTTTGTAGAAAGTCTTATTATCATCTTCATTTTATGAAAGAAGAAAAACTATAGAGTGGTATGAATGAATAATTTGCCCCAAATTACTCAATGAACGAATCGTTTTAAACTAGAATTAAATATGTCTGATTTCTGGGTACATAGACTGTCTTCCAACCTTAGGGTACCTCAGCGACTAATGAATTGCGATTTGAGTTCTGATCATCTTACTGCCAGCTGACTTGACAAGCCCTTGATATGGCAGGTACTGCAACATGTCCACATTGCCATGGCCTTAACAGCGGATGGCAATCACTCAGAAAAGCAATTAGTGCAGGCCATTAACAGTGACTTAGAAAAGATATAAATGCTTCCTGACTACAAGAAGTTTACAGTATACCAACACTCAAATGCCACAATTATTTACCTACCTACCTACTCTATCAATTTTTAGGAATTCTTTTATCTGTGGAAGAAACGAATAATACCTTTACAAAGTGATAATTTGTATGGCTTTAAAGGGAAGTATGAAGAGGCACTGATGAATGGGGAAAGACAGTGGAAACTGGGTAAATAAAAGGTAATGTGTTAAGTGGAGTATGTAGGGAGGTGAAGGGGAGGCGAAATAGAGTTGGACTGAATAAACAGGGGTGCAAGACACTGAGTTATAGAAAGAGAATTCAGTAGTCTGCTGCCCAGTCAGATGCAGCAGCCAGTCTGACCTATGCATGGAAAGATCAAGCCTTTTGTCCTCCGATTGTTTGCCTATGGAATGCATGGGTCAAAGATCAAAACCCAAGCTGCTAATAAACATCACGGTAAGAAACAGAAAGCCAGTTAGGAGTTGCAAGAGAGTTCCTATATTTTCTTCTCAAATTACTTTGCTACTTCTAATTTTAACAGGGGCCAAGTACAAGAAGTGCTTAAATGCAAAGTTTAAAGTTTATCTTAATACGCATAATATATATCACCATAAATTTCCTTTATAAAGTTATAAATTAGATCTGCAAAATTAGATCTATATTTCTTAAAACATGTTTCCATGTGCTTTACATATATTCACATTCTCTCTAATCACTTTTTCCCTTCCTACTTCTACATTAACTGTCTGCCTTTTTCTGTATCCTCATATTTTGAAAAATTAAATACTCAATTTCAGTTTTGCCTGAGCAAGCCAATAACAACAGCTACCTACTAACTGACAGATGATCTGGCAGAGAAATAATTTAAATTTGTTATCTTATAAATAGCCACCACAAAATCCAGGAGGGAAAAGATATACTTAAAACTGCAAAAGTTTCATAATCATGAAAATCTGCCTCAATACTAACTTTCATTCTGTCCCTTTCTGCATTTTGATGGCTAAAAAATGAAATGAGAAGGAGTAGTTGTGCATTTAAGAAGAAGATGGAAGGCTTAGAGGGCAGTCGTGTTTCTCTCCTTGACTTCTGCCTGCTCTAAACAGGAGGAACACACACCATCAGAAAGACTCTTACAAACGCACCCCAGTGTGTATTATTTCTCAAACTAATCACCTAAAATTCACTTTATTCAGTTTCAGTAAAATTGCATTTATTTGCTGATAATCTCGTCTGTAAATAATACCAAATTCAGCGCTATTCAAAAAACAATCTCAAAATTTTTTGACAATACAGACAGAACTAATACGTTCAAGAACTGAAACTGACAGAATTTTTTTTTTTTAACTGTCTATCACTCTTCTGTATTCCACTGCCTGTTTGTTAAAAGCACTCAGGCTTAAGGTCAGTGTGGATCTGTTGACTCATAAAACATTAATTGCATAAATTTTAAGGACCAGTTGCTAATAACAAAGGTCTAATTCCTTAGGTATATGGATTCTAGCCAGTTTTCCAAATGCAAGGAGGTTTTTCTCCAGGGGAAGCTGATAAACACATTTGATAAGGTAATATTTTAAATGAAAGGAGACAAGGGCTGGGGGTTTAGCTCAGTGGCATAAGCACCTGCCTGGCAAGCTCCAGGTTGTGAGTTCAAACGCAGGTACTGCAAAAAAAAAAAAAAAAAAAAAAAAAAATGAAAGGCAACAACCTAATATTATTTGACAATTTATCTGTAATAGCAAAGACACACAGTTTTGCGAAAGCCTAATAATAATAATAATCAATTGTGAGTGAATTAGGGTCAGTCTTACTGTAAAAATCGTCCAGTTGGGACTCTTGTTGGAGGGGGGAGAGGGTGGGATGATTCTTGAGCCACTACTAGGACGTTTCTTTACTAGATTACAAAGCAATCTGTGAACAAGCTCCCCATGCAACTTTGACCATTTCACTTTTCTTCACTCAAGAGGATGAAATTTTCACACTCACCGAAGAACTGCTAGCTGTATTCTCTGCACATTAAAAACTGAAACTCACCTTAGTTCTAAAACACAGTGCAATAGTAACAATGTTGCTCACTGCTATTGGCATTAGCTCAGAGCTTCAGAGCAAGGACTCAGGACCTCCAGGGAACACAGTCAGCTGCTTCCTGAGCACTACAAATCCCCTTTGTGTCTGACGACGACGTGCTACAGATGTCACAGAAAGGCAACCCATCTCCCTTGGGCTAAGACTGGCGCTGATTTTGGAAAGCACCCAACATAGTGTGTCATGGTCATTAAAATCAAATCGTGGGCGCCAAGGTGTGTTTCTTGCACGCCTGATACGCTCTGCAGGAAGGAAGGGGCTTTAAGACTCCTTTTAAAAGTCCTTGAGAAAATCAGACTGCTAATCAACTATCAGTGCTTCACATGGAAAAAAACATTAAATTCTCCTTGCCTTCCTGTTTTCCCCCTGCTAAGCAAGTAGAGATTACTTCTGCAAAGTCGGAGCAGCGTGATCTTTGAAGACTCCAAATTCAAGGAAGTCGGGACCCCCAAAAGTGCAAGGAGCGCCCAGGGAGTTGGGGAGTTGGCGGAAGTTACTACAAAAGGCGCGTTTTCTAAGTCCGCGGGAGTAGGAGGGTGTGGCAGGCGGGGTCAGCTGTTCCCTGGAAGCAGCTACTCACCCTTCTGCGCCGTCCTCCGAGTCGCTGTCCGAGGGCCGCTCTTCGCCGATGTGCGGCAGGGTGAAGAGCAGGGTCCTGGGGCCAGGCCCCGGCGCCTTGGGCGCGCTGGGCTCCCTTCCCCCGGGGAGCGCTCGCTGGGCCGGGGACCCCGGGGCGCTGCGCCCCGCGCTGCTCGCGGGCAGAGGCGGCGGCGCCGGCGGGAGCTTGGCTGCTCTGGAGCTGCCGGCCGAGGGCGAAGGCGACCCCAGCGCTCCGGCGGCCGCGACCCGCGCGTGGGAGGCAGCGAGCGGAGGGCGCAGCGCGGCGGGCGCCCCCCGCGGGGCTGAGCCGGCGTCGGGGGCCAGCGCGGGGAGCAGGGTGCGGGTCGGGGTCGGGGTCGGGGTCCGGACGGCGCCCGCAGACCCTGCGCCCCCCGAGGGGCCGGAGGAGCCCCCCGGGGGGCCGGAGGAGCCCCCCGGGGAGGGGGCCGCGGGGGGTGCCTTCGGGGTCCCGAAGAGTTTGGCCAGGAGAGCCCCGAGGTCCAGCACCGCCACCTTCATGCCGCGCCCTCGGAACAGCCGCCCTGGCTGCCGCCGGAAACGCGGGGAGCCGGGCAGCCGGGCTGCGGGGCTCCAGCCATCGCGCCCACCGCGGGGCTCTGCGCGGGGCGGCCCGGGCCGGGGGCGCAGCGGGGGTGCTGGGGTGCCCGCACCCCGCGAAACTCCGGAGAAGTCGCTGCTTCCGGCGCTCAGCTCCGCACGACAGGGACAAACTGTCCTGAGACAGCGACCCCCTGGCAGCCGCCCTACAGCGAAGACACCCGCTCCGGGGTTGGGGGTCGAAGAGCCCAGCTAGGGCGCCTCCAGCTCGCCAGCGCCACTAGCCTCACTTCAGATGGCAGCGACCTCAGCCCCGGGAGGCCAGCGCCCAGGGGCAGCACCGGCGGTTGCTAAGCTAAACAAAAACCCAGCTAAGCCGAAGGCTAATTGGGCCCCAGACAGCTCTGGGCTTCACCTACAATAGAAACCCTGGCTCCTCTCCTCGCCTTCCGCCTTAAAGAGACAGTCTCAGATTTCTCCATCACTCTAAGATTCTCCAGCGAGGGACTAGAGCAAGAAATTGAGAAAAACCAGAGAAATATAATCCTGCTCCGGAAAGGTTCTGAATTCAACCTGTCTGACAGAGCCAGAGGTGGTACAATCAGGGGCAGTTCTCTGATGTGAGGGACAGTGGGTTAAAAAAAGGTATTCAAGGACCTATGTTCCAAAGAGCAGTGCCCCCCTGCCCAGTCCCAGGGCCCTGTTCAAAGGGTGTCACTAGGAGTGGCGTATGGCAACAACAGAAGGTGCTTCACCCTAAAATTTGGAAATAAAATTGGGCTGGAGAGGTAAAGCAGAAAAATCCACATACAGTTACCAGGACGCTATGTACACTATGTAAGATGTGTATGAGTCACACTGTTTTTGTTTCTTTTCTCTGGTTTCTGAGACAAAATACCTAATTGCCCAAAATTAAGGAAGGAAAGATTTATTTAGTTCACAACTTGTGGAGGTCTCAAAGTCCACAATCAGCTGGTTCCAAGACAAGGTGACATGACACACGGGCAACACTTAAAGGCAGCAAAAAAAAAAAAAACCAGCAAAAGCACTAAGCAGAAGGAGGAGGAGGAAACCTCTTTTCCTTCCTTTAATAAGCAGGCCAGGCCCCCACCCCCACCCCAAGTGTAGCACTCTCACTACCTGCTGGTTCCCTCAGAAGGAGGATGTTTACAAAGTGAGGACTCTACCCCATGCTGAGTCACTTAAACTTCTCAAGTTGACACAGTGTATCAACCAATGTATCAAACCACGGTTTGTAAACTTGGCAACCAGACACATTTCTTCAAACAGCTTTCTAGATACAGAGACAAGCTTATTCTTATCCTTTCACAACTTTAACATTATAAGTTTAGTAATCCTTAAGAACCAGTATTAAACTCTATCAATATATTACATTAGAGCCATAACACTCTGCCCCTGTTCCCCCCAAAGTCCATGAACATCCTTTTACCTAAAAGGCACTTAGTCCCTCTGAAAGTTGCCAAAGTTCTAACAGTTTCAGCATTGCTGAAATGTCCAAATTTCAAGTCTTCCAAGATGAAAGGCAAACTCTTAGCAGCAAGACCTTGTACAAATAAAAAGTTAAACACTTAAATATTCAATGGCAAGAGATAAACATTTTCTTTCCAAAAGTTACAAACAGAGGATACAAAGGATTGGAACCAAAGCAAGCCCAAAATCCAGCAGGGCAAACAGTTCTGTGGTTCCATGTCCAACATCTGAAGAAATCTGTGAGAAATTGTGAGCTCCAAAAGGTTTGAGTGACTCTACCTCTATAGCACTTCTAGTGGTTGCAGCTCCCATGGATTCTGGCTTAGACTTGCCAGCTGGAGCAGTAGCTAAGCTTTTCTCCTTCTTGGATGTAGAGATCAAGTGCCTGGATTGCTGGGAATTCTGAATCCAATTCTGAGGAACAAATTTTCTAAGCTGCTACCATTCTGGCACATAATAAATACTCTGGGCTTTCTCCTCAAAGCAAAGTCTTTCACTTTTGCAGTTTTGAAGCAGCAAAGAGTGGGGATTCGCTGCTTCTTGTGATCTTTTATATTTTCCTGTTACTTCTCAGTAATGGAGATCTCTTTAGCTCCATCTTTGTAATGTACAGCTTTACTGGAGCTTCCTTTCTGGCCAAACTGACAATGTTTTAAATCATCCCACTGGATTCTTTGCTCTTGATTTGCAACATAAATCTGGATAAAAGCTCCTAACAATAGCCATGCCCCAGCTTCAACATTCAGTTGTGTTGAAATTTTTATTGCAATATTTATTAGTCCACTCCCCTTGTCTCAGGCTCAAAGTGTCTGAACAGGAACAAATTGCAGACAAACTTTCTGCCAAACCATAACATACATCTAAACTCCAACAATCAATGTAGTCCTTTTCCCAGTAGAAATTTCCAGAGCCTGGACTTTACTAGCAGGATTTCTGTCAGCTGCCGTGTCTTCTGAACTCTGATCAGAATCTTCCATCCAGAACAGTCTAAGGCATTCCAGTGATACTCTTTCAGGCAACATCTCCAAATCTTTCCAAACTCTTTCCACAAGCCATTCCCAGGCCCCTGAACCACATGGTCAGATATAGTTACAGCAATGACCCCACTTCTCTGGTACCGTAATCTGTATCAGACAGGATTTGCTAGAAGAACATATATATCACAAGATATACAAATGTATAAGAAATTACAAGACTGGCTTAGATGGTCAGCCACAGAGTTAGATGAGGAAGCGAGCAGAGGGAGTCTGCAGGTGGGAGGATGAGGAATCCAGTCCTGAGTCCACTTCTGTGTTCCATGTAAGTCATTATCAGGAGGCTGTTGGGTTTTCGATGGAACACTGAAGAATTTACCCTGGAAGGCTGGGGAGTCCCAGGTGGAAACTGAACAGTCTGCCCCTGAAGCCAGAAGACGAAGTCCAAGCTGAAGTTGAAGACTGAGCTCCTCTGAAGAACCAGCAAGCAGTTCTTCCTCATGGCCCTTTTGTTGTGTGCAGACTGCCCGCTCTGGAAGAGGGATCCTTTACACTCACATCATCTCCATGCCCTCCTCTTGCACAGGCTGAGGATACTTACAAAGTAAGGACTCTGGCACCCTGCTGAAGCACTTAGTTAAACTTCTCAGATTGACACAATGAACAATATCCTGGAGTATTAAAAGCATGTCCTCTACACACCAGGATGCAGAGCTGCTGAGTGCTTAGCTGAGCTTTTAGACTTCTCAGGTTGACTCAATATATCAACCACTGCACACACTAATCAGAATACCTATCTACAAATGACAAACATAGAGTCAGATAGGAAAGTTAAGACTCCTTAGTGGAATAAATTACATTTTGCTTAATGTGAAGAAATCATGGCAGAAATTCCTCAAAAATTAAAAAATTCCATTTTACTCATGTATCACCCTTCTAGGTATCTTCCCAAAAGAGTTAAAATCATCATATTATGGTGATACATGCATCTTCATGTTTACAGAAGTAATTTATAATGAGATTGTGGAAAAACCATGTATGTCCATAAACAGATGAATGGATAAGAAAAATGTGGCATCTACACACAATGGAGTGCTGTGTTGCCATAAGGATAAACATGAGGTGTTTGTAGATAAACTGATGCAATTTGAGAACTTCATGCTGTGTGAAAAATGTCAGACACAAAAGCTCAAGTATCTCATAGAGCTTCTCTCATAGGAAAAGCACCATATATATTATATGGAAAGCAAAATAAAAGAGGGATAAATAGAAAAATTAGTAGAAGTTCAAATACTTCCCAGAATTACATGTTCTATCATTTAAAAATAATTTAATATATATGGTAATTAGTTTCATTTACCCTACTAGTTTACAATCCTTTAGTCCATTGTAAATAAGGTATTAAGTTATTACCTGTTTCCTTTTTATGTGTTTCTTTTTTATTACCTGTTTATGTCTTGTATTCTGGATAACTACTCTGAGGATAATGATACAGTGTATTAATTAGTTATTCTTGTATTATTTTGTTATTAAACTTTGTTTTATATTTTCATAAAATAAAAATAATAATGTACATCAAAGGTAGAGTATAAGAGTGGGAACTTCTATACCAGGTTTAAAAATATTGAGAAATAAGGTTTAAAAATATAGAGAATCAGGGCTGGGAATATAGTTCAGTGATTACTGCACCAACCTTGGAAGTACAAGGTCCTGAGTTTAATTCCTGGTACAAAAATAAATTTAGAATTATCCATTGATATAAGAATTTTTATTTGGGGAAAGGAATTTCTGCTAGATGAATAGTCTGCTAGTGAAGAAATAAACTGACGCTCATAGTCATGTATTGCAGGGAGTTATCAAAATGAATACGGAGCTATAATAAAGTCCTCGGCAATGCTAAGTTTTGTTTTCCTGGAGACTGTAATTTTCTGCTTATGGTATTGACATTCTCTTATAATCTATTTTCTGCATCCAACTAGCAGTATCAACAAATATGTATCAAGCACTTTTTCTATGTCAGGATTTGAAAAAGCACTGAGAGACAAAAAAAAGTTGTGCTTTTCTCAGAGCTGGAATAATGATTTTCCCATCAGATGCTGTATGAGGTAAATACCTCGGAAAATATGAACAGTGGGCAGCAGCTGTCTCAGTCAGCACTGGCTTGGGGAAAGCAGAGCATGTGTGTGTATAAGAGAAGAGAAAAAGCACTAAGGCTGGATCATAACTAGATGTCAGAAGAGGCAACAGTATACAGTCCTCGGCATGTGAAGCACACGGTGAAATACCAAAATGAAGGAAAGAGAATGTAAGCCATAGATATCTCAGCAATGAGAAGAGGTGAGGTCCCAAGGTCGAGCAGGAGTGCTGGGCCAATTGTCATAATGCAAGGTCACCAGAACAGTCTGAATGCATCAACACCTCCCATTCGTCACCTCCCTGCGTTCCTGCAGCAGCTCACCGGGTAGGCTCTGGAGTGCATAAGGTCCACCAGATCATTTTGTATAGCACTTCAGACTATTTCCAGACTCTTCTTTGTTTCCCAAGAATCTTGATTCTGACTCATACATCAGTTAAATCCTTATATGTTAGGTTGCTCTCAATACAAAC